GCCCAGATTCGAACTGAGGTCGATGTCTTCCATAAGAAAGGGCATCTGCATTTACCGTTATGCTACCGTCCCACGTAAGACTTGACCCCTTGACCCGAGATATTTCATTGGTTTCCTGCATCCAAATATTCGCGCGTACATGTTCGATGCCACAGTGATTGTCGAAATCATCAGGCCTAGGACGGATCGCCCTGCCTCTATCAGTTACATTTCTGGTTACGCCACCTCGTAAACAAGGTATCTCGGGTTGAATCTATCCCGGGCCTTTCCAGATACGTACACCAAGAAGTGTTCTTATCGATATCCTAGCATGAGAGGCTTGCACAAGGAGGCCAACCTCCAACCAGTCATCAGGCCTCACTATCGATGTATCATCCCACGTAACACCACCAACAATCCTCCTTTGCGATATATCCGTGTGCTATAGAATGATTACACAATCGGGAACAATATGTCAGCCACTCTTCTTTTTTTTAAACCCAATGTACACGTACTCTCCGATGTGACGATCTCCAAGATTCCCCTCTTGTTCAAACGGGGGAGCGAATCGCGTAACAAAGGTCCCAACGTTTCAGACCTAGTAGGTCTATCGTAGATACTAAAGGCGACTCGTTTCAATTTATGATAGCTTGAACTCAAGACGGTGTCAAGAGCATTCCAGCCATATGAACCCATGTCATATTCTATAGGTGGAAAAACCCAAGGGGTCGTTCCTGGACCTGCAAACTCGCATGGAATGCGGATCTCTTCTAAGCAATTATCAGTGGGGAGTTGAGAAAAGAAGGCCGTCATCCAAGGAACGTAATTCATTTTATTATGAGTGACGGTGTTTTGCCGGATCGATATTGTGATGAGCCGGAGGTTGGATAATGTGGAAGGGTGGAGAAGATGATGATCGGGTGTGGATGTTGTCTCTGAAAAAATCACAGCGGCCGGTAGTACATAGAATTGGGAGATCAGTTTAACCACCACTCGCGGGGACGCATAGGAGGGTATACTGACGTGAAATTGGTGGGCTGATCATCAACTCTCGAAGGGTGGGAGCACATAACTGGACAATTTCTTGAACCCATGTGAACGCCCCTCGTTGGTCCCTCTGACCAGTAAGATCCGAACTCATAAACGTCGTCAACTCCGTCAAATCAAATGCGCCTTGTGGACTTAACATCCACTCAAGTATTCGCATTTGAGAGAACCTATCAGCTGCGATATGAAGGGAATGAAGCCGTGGCTTGGGGGTATGACTGCTGAGCTGCGCATATTGGAAATCGAACAGGCACCTGTTCATTTTCAATTCGCGGAGGGCGGCGCAATGATAGAAGTATGGGACAGGGAATCCGCATCTGCAGGCAGACAGACCAATGGAAGTGAGGTTCCTCAGAGTCATTTGGATATCAGCCCCCCCCAATAATCTTGTAGTAGGAGGTTGTACCATGTAGAGTTCGTGGAGGTTGGGGAATAACTTCAGCGTTTCCTGGATGTTCGATAGGTGGCCGTTTCTCCTCACCCAAACTAGATGGACATAACGACGGAGGTGATTATTTTCTTCAAACATTTTCTTTCGTTCATCCCAGGAACCTAGCGTGATTTCGGAGAATATTAGAGGTTGGGAGATGATTCGCCAGGTATAGCAGACGAGAGCGCATCGGAAGAGATCGAAGGGCTTTTTGGGGGATCGATAATGTCCGTACACGAACTGAAGAATGTGTTCGACCAATTCAACTGGGAGAATCGACATGGTTGAGACGAAAGGTCGAGCCGTGGCGGTTAGGGACAAGCCGTAAGTATCCGGGAGGTGTACAGCAGCAAACAGTTGACCTGGCAGGGTCCCAGGCTCGTCCCAAACGTCAATGTCTGGGATATGTTAATTTGGAGGGCACAAACGTTGTCCAAGAAGCCTCAGAACCTCTAAATGCACATGGGGACTCTACACGTTACCTTGCTAATTGTATTCTGAATGCAGTACGACTCCCACCCGGTACACCACGGCCTTCCCTCGACCTGACTATAAACAAGGTTCCAATTCAAAATTTCAGAGTACCACAAGAAGTGTGTGCACCCGGAGTGCAAAAAGAATTCTTGGACGATTCCTGGGAACGGCTCAGATTCGAACTGAGATCGATAATTTCTTTCCGAAGAAAGATTCCAAAAGGTGGGCTATCAGCATTAACCGTTATGCTACCGTCCCATGCCAAGTTCTCAACTAAAATGCTTGAATGACTCGCCCGGAATCGAGAAAGCGGCGAAGCCCGTCGACGTGTTCGTGAACATTGCTGACGTGTCATTGACGTAATCGGAAAAATAAGGGACCGTGCGTGGACCTGGATGCTCGAACGCTCACCTCGACCTTTTGGGTCCGGCTTCAACAGAACTGCTTAGCGCCTCAGCACGGCACACGAATAGTAACAAACGCCCATCTCGACGTACAAACACAATTGAGGCGTGCTGTACAGCATCAGCGCTTCGAGCTTGGTGAAGCACTCCCACCACGCCGCCTCCACATTTCGCACTCAGCGCTCCATCTCGCCACGTCCATCTCCTCGTTTTTTCACGCATCATTGTAGCTTTATAACAAATTCATCCTCAAACCCATCTGCCATACACTCTTGGAACCTCACTTGAAACGCAACGATGGACGGCCTCATAACTGAAATCCAAAAAATCCCACCGATAACCAGGTTTCTATGTGGCTCCTCTCTAGCGGTGACACTGTCAGTCTTGACCCATGTGGTTTCGCCGCATGCTGTATTTTTTACGAAGGATCTGGTGTTTCAGAAGTTACAGGTGCGTGATGTGTGTTTGTGTGAGGAGGAAGTGCCAGTTGATTGACGCTGGCTTTGGTTTTTAGATATGGCGTCTATGGACGAGTTTCTTCCTTGGAAGTACGTTGGTCTTCGTGTCCCGCTTTTTCTCGGAGTAAAAGCTGACTATATGCGTTATGTTCTTCTCACAGGTGGCGGGATAAACTACATCTTTGAACTTGCAATGCTATAGTACGTTTTACCCGAGTTTATTCGACGTCGATCTAACACCCCACCCTCTGGCTTACAGTCGAACGTCCAATGAACTAGAATCTGGCCCATTCCATCGACGTTCAGCAGATTTGGGATGGCAACTCCTCTTCGCATCCGGTGCCATAATCGTAAGTCCTCCCTCTTCCTTTCTTCTTCATACTCAACCCACGCCCCACTCACTTAGGCTCTAACAACACCCCTCAAATCTTTCTTCTTCTCTCGTCCTCTCCTAATATGCCTAACATACATTTCCGCGTCCTTGGCACCTCCAGGCGCCCAATCAAGCCTCATGGGCTTGATAACCTACCCAGCAAAATACACGCCCTACATGATGATTGGGTTTGACCTCCTCATGGGCGGACCAAGCGCAGCTGCACAAGGTGTTGTAGGTGCTTTAGTAGGACATCTTTGGTGGTGGGGAATTTGGGGGTCAGGCGAAGGTGCAGGTGGAAGAGGTGTTTTGGAGGAGATGGGGAGAGCTCCTGGGTGGTTGAAGGGGCTGGTTGGTGAAAGCGACCAAGCTGCAGGTGCAGGGAGAGATGCACCCAGGCCGGCGAGAGCAGGTGGTGGCGTGCAAGTGATTCCGCCGCGAAGACCGCTTGGTGGGAATTCGACTGGGGGTGCGGGAGGGTCGACTACGACTACTTCGGAGAGGAATCGTGGTTCTGGATATAATTGGGGATCTGGGCAGAGGTTAGGGACCGAGTAGATGCTTCATTGCACTCGACAGCTGTAGAACGTAGGGTTAGGGTTGGGTGGTCGAGACCACGTCCGTGTACCAGTCTGGTCCCGCGTATACGCCACATCCAAGTAAACTTTTCATCATCTGTTATGGTATTTGATCCCCGGTAAAATACAGAAATATTTACAACGCTATCAATGGAGGGTATATACAACAGGACAGAAAACAAAAGGATAACCACAGAGAAAATGAAAGACCTGACTATACGAGGTTCTTGAGTCGTCCAAAGTTGGGTGTCCCAAGCCCAGTGACTGGGTCCCAACCCTTTGTAACCTATAAGGTAGAGAGTAGGTTCGCTGATCCAAATACGAGCGTAGAACTGGACTTACATTGAATCCAGGGGTTCCACAGCCAGAGTTGTGGCCTGAGAGAATGTCGGTGAAGCCGGAAGAGCCAATCGAATAGATGAAGGGGTTTAAGAAGCCGAGCGGAGGCCGACCTTGCCTTAGTCGAACTTCGTTCAATAAAGCGATGAAGCCAGCTAGTGCGGGGGCGGCGGCGGACGTTCCTCCGATCATAGCTGGCTGGCCACCAACGATGATGCGAAAACGGTCACCCTGCGCCGCGATATCTGGGACGCCCTGTACAGCGCAATATTCAGGTTAGAAAATCAGTCGATAAGCGGAATTCAGTGAATGCTCACTCGACCGTTACTGTTTAATGTTGCACAATGTGAGGGACAAAAATCTAGTAGGAATGCTTTGGCTTACCGGTTGAACAGCCCTTGATAAGTACCATGTTCGAGGGTGTCGAGATATCCTGGGACGGCTCTTTTCTGGTAAGCTGGCCGGAGGAACTACAGACCGGACCAGATGAGTTAGTGCATAGAAGGCAGATTGCAAGAGGCACTTACGTAGTTGCTGAAGCCACCCCCCGAGAAGAATCTGGACACTGCGACTTCAGGGGAAATATTCTGAGTTGCACCGACGGATGTGACACTATAAATACTCAGTCGTGAACCTAAAAAAAGCACCAGTCGCGACGTACAATGGGCAGCTAGAGAAGAAGTTGTCGATATCATTAAACAGGAAGCGCAGTATGTACAATAATAGATGCTTACGTAGCAGGGAAAACGGGGATGAACTTGGTTTGATTGTTCCCATCGTTCGTGAAGCACGTTTGAGTAGCTGGATCAGGATTACCATCACCAACACCAAAGTCACCAGACGAGAAGACGACAGAGACTCCCCGGGCACCTAGAATGAATCAAATGGAAAGAGAATCACGACGCAGATCTACTTCATAGTGAGTATGCCATACCAAGCTGTGCGAAACCGCTGCAAACCCGCCGAGCGAAGGATTCCGGGACTTCGATGACTCGGAGTTAGAACCAACTTTAGCGCGCTTGGTGAAGGTGGTCTTACCGGTTTGTTCGTCATCGCCGTAACTCGTGGAGATTGTCAAGGGTATATCGACCTGGTTGATCACGGAGTCAAGCCAGTCCGAGTAAGGCCTAAGTTATATTTGGTCAGAAACTGATTCGATATAAAGCGGGATCCATGGACGTACTCGTTTGTATTCGTAGGTGTGATAACATCAGGTTTGAACGGTGGGGTTCCAGCTGTCGAGTAGAACGTCGCCTAGGTAGATATGAGTAGGGTACCGAAGATGAGAAACGTTCGAGCGCACAAGGATGGGGTAAGATATCCCCAAAGCGAATTGAACATCCAAGTTCGCTTCGAAACCTGGTTTTGATTGGTCGTTGAGCCCGCCTAAAAATAGATCATTTAGCAGAGGATCAGAAGGATGATTTAGAGGATATCGTACCATTCACCGAGATGAACCGGAACGAAGAGCCACGCGCATCGGGGCGTTGTTCGGCATAAAATTGTTGAAGATCGGCTAGGTTGGCATACTCGCCGACATAGCCGGTGACACCAATCGAATTTTTAGACGTGCTCGACTGTTTGTAGCCTACGGCGTTGTATAGCTGGTTAAGGCAGGAAATGGTGATCGTCTGGTTGCAACTGGCGTCGACGGTGAGACCAGTGGCAGGGTTCGTAATTGATCCAAGCGCGTCGTTAATGACGCTCGAAGGCTCTTCGTTGCTTTTGACAATGGTAGATCGGAACGGCTTGAATTGGGCGAACATGGTGGTAGGCTGTATAACATCTACGTGTTCATGAAGACCGATAGGGAGGCTATAGCTGGTTGTCCGAACAATGTCGTCCCCGGTTTTCAGGTTCTTCCAAACGTGATATTTCTACAAGAGGAGCACGCTCAATATTAGTGAACCACGATTATGGAAGGAAACATACGGTGTCGAGCATTTTCTCCGCCATTCCGATGGGGATTGTAAGTGTGATCCAGTCTTTAGCAGGAGAGCGAGTGATTTCGTCCTCCTGGATGCCATGGGATGCGAGCCATTCGTTGACAGCCTGAAGGCTCTCTGGATGGGGTGCAACGAGCTCCTCAACTTCCTCCTTGGATAGGTGCTGGCCGTACCGGTGATGACCTGGGTCACTGACCTCGTAGAGATGAGTCTCGAGAATATTGAAGTTTGGTTGTGGTAGTCCAATGCGAAGGGAGATGGTATGATCAGCAGGAGGCACACTGTGCTGTATCCATCCGTGAGGAGGGTGAGCATGTTCCTTGACTTCGTACAGGCCGTTTTGAGCGGGCAGGCTGAGGACTGCCAGGGGGACGATGCATAGCAAAGCAAAGAGGAAGCGGAAAGACGGTTGCATGGATGGAAACGACGACCAGTAAACGAGGGCGCCGCAATCGACGAGTTGGCGCTTTTTGTAGGCTTCAAGTTAATTATTACGCAACGTATACGTATTACGAGAGTTGGAATGCGTCCAAGATCGTGGTCCGAATACATTTTAGCATCAAATTTGCTGCGGCGAATTCGGTTGGGATCCATATTGGAAATATTGGCCCGTTCTTTTAAACTTTATTTTATCCTGTACGGACGATGGTCCAGTTTTAATCCTGGAATCAGCTCACTGGGTGATCGCGGTGGTGAGTCCGAACTATTCCACAGGCAGAGACCTGCCAGGAAAGCGGTAAGCCGTTCTGAACATGACCACGCAACTTATCCACTGCCAACCCTTGTTCGGGTCTTCAAGACCTGAAGGCTTCACGCTCCACGACTGATTTGATTTCTCGGTTGCGAGCGCCAGCCTAGCTGATTCGTGAGTGTTCTTCGGTTGCCTCACTGCTCCTCGACACCACTCACCTATAATTTTCGTGATTGGTCCAGCTCCCAATCGGACGCATGAAGACAGGCTTCTTTGTCTAGAAAATGTGAAGTATTAGCGTGCGGACAGCAACGGTTGTGGTACGTCACGAATACATACCACGTAGGTGAGAGTGAAGCACCCTTAAAAGGGGCAATGACTCTGAGAGGTTAGGCCTTGGGCTTCACTCTGGTTTCACTCAAACGAGGTCCACATGTCCATGTACCGGTCTCAAAGTCCGTGCTTCGGC